ACTATGATCCCTAATATTGTTCTATCATGTATGGCTAATTCTTTTCCTGACCCTGAGTATCGTTGGGAGAAAAGCAGCACTAATGAAGGACCATATACTGAAATAGCTAATAGTGAAGGCTCTACTTATGCTTTGGGTACTGTTGTTCATTCTACTAATGGATACTATCGTTGTGTTGCATATACTAATGTATCTAATATCATCAATGAGACTGCTTCTAATCCAGCTGTTGTTACTGGTAAGATATAGTATAGTACCTTAATTACCTTTATAATTTTTCTACATTACATAACTGCTGTTTGTTTATATAGTATACACATTTTTTTTGTTTTATTCTGATAGTGAATCCTCTTGGCAGTGTCATGATCTCAGTCAGTAGTGCCACAGTCAGTGGTGGTGACAATGTAACCTTTACATGTACTGCTGGAGGAGGACCAGGAAATACTTTTTCTTGGCTAGATAGTATGAATGTCTTAACTGATGGAGGACGATTTATCATAGTAGAATCATCTTCCAGTACACTTACTATTACTGATGTAATTGGAGCAGATTTTGGCAGATATTTTTGTCAGGTATCAAATCTTGCTGGAAGTGGTACTGTTTTTACATCAATTACAAGTATGCAATCTACAATTAAAAATCCTACAATTATAATTTGTTTCATTCCTCACTAGCATCGCCTGAGGGATTCTCAGCCATTAGTCCTGTCAATAATATAACATTGGACAGAGGAGATGATATCACACTAGAGTGTACTACAACTGCTGGTCCTTCTAATAAGTATAATTGGTTTCATAATGCAACACTGAGTGTTTGCTGTCCTTTGGGACAAGATGCTAACATCACTGGTAAGTTTAGAAAATTGATATCTTCAAAATAATATTTTTTGTAGAATTGGTAGAGCAGAGAACTGTTTCACGTGTTGGTATGAGCTTTGATCTTGAGCTTACTTCAGTCAATGCTTCTCATGGCGGTACATATGAGTGTGTACTATCCAATGATGCTGGATATGAAGCACTCAGTACTAGTGTCTTCATAAGACCATACTTTGCTGAGCAGCCACCTGACAATGTGTACACTGAAGTTGATGGGAATGTGACTATGGACTGTAATGCTGAGTCTTATCCTTATCCAAGTTTTCAATGGGAGAAGAAGAATGATGCTGGAGTATTTGCATCAATATCAGGAGAGACTGGTAGATATCTCATGTTTAGTTCAGTCACTACTGATATCATTGGAGAGTATCGCTGTATAGTTACTGTGGATGAGCTGGACTCCTCCATCACATCCAATATCACTGCTGTTCACGGTATACATTAATTTGTTGATAATTTTAAATAACCACTTATTAATCAAATTTCAATTTTAAAAATCTATTTCTTTTTTCAGTTCCTGTTGGTCCTCCTATTTCTGTGGAAGGAGCTGCATTGACTAAATCCTCAATAAATGTTGTTTGGCA